AAAAAATCTATCTTTTTATTTTATTTTTGTTTGTCACTGTCCACTTCCCCAAGCGCTGCGAGTATCCACTTCTGATTGCTGTGATCATATAAGTTTGCTCGATCGGCGATTTCCTCGAACAATTTATTTGGCACAAATAGTTCATAGCAGATTTCTAATGGCACATCTGACCTAATACTCAAATTTTCAGTTGTAAACCCAGAAAGAGAGGTGAAAGCTATAAGCTCTGGTTGATCACCTCTCGGATCATGCCATTCTTCAACATTCCCTTCCTCTGATGATGAAAAAACAGCCATACCACAATACCAGTGTCAATCAAAAATTCATTAAAGTTGTACAAAATATGAAATATAAAATTCGAAATTCAGAATTCGTGCTTCCGCTTGCACATATTAAAGTGGAGGACTACGTTATTCAAACTTGAGTGGCTCAAGGTACCGTTCACAATGCGAGGAATATATTCACTATTTAATTTCTTTAAAAATAAAATAAGGCAATAATATTTGGAAACAATAATTTGCAAAGTGATACAGCCGTTTATAGTGGATGAAGCAAAATCCCGTATCGAGACTAATAGCTCAGTCGAGCTAACGAGAATGTTTTTATTGTACAGATTAAAAGTAATTTTTCTGTATTCTCTCATGCCTGTGATCTTTGTTTGGTAATCGACTTCAACTCCCTTCGCAGTGTTAGCCGATTTAATTGCGTCTTTGCTTTTGTCAGTCGTATACACCGTTGTACTTGGCATATGATATGAAATATCCCTCCGAATACCCACCGTCTTCTTCATATTTTTCACATCTATGATGATTCTAACCATTTTCTTCGTTGCTTCCCATTCTCTTACCTAAAACTCATTGTTAAGGAATTTACAAAACATATTCGTGAAAAAAACACAAAATCACTTGGAAATGCAGAATTATAGCGGAGGTTGTTTTCTTTTGGTCTGTCATAGCCTTGTCTGGAAAGAGGTAAACATGTGTACTGCGCACAGTCTGACTCTTCCAACTCGAATCGCATTCTAAACGAATTTTGCTTACCAAAAACATTTTCACTTCCAAACCGGACATATACCAAATTGAACGTATTTCAAAACAGATGTATGTTCAGATACTAATGTATGTACAAAGATATTTCTAGAAGTTTAAATTCTTAAAATTAGAAACGGCTTCTGCCATAAAATCCATATTTCAAATGAGCATGTTCATTGCGATGCTAACCGAACGTGCTTTTAATTATACCACGGAGAGACGCGATAAAAAATGAAGGACTATGGAAATTTTATCTGTGATTCTAAACTATTAAAGCATTTTTCATTGGTTTTTGGTTGGAGCCCCGGCGAGGGCATTGCTCATTTTTCATTTCTCCTACTTCCAAATAACCTAATGTCTCTACAGTGGCGCTCAAACTAAAAGGTTGATGGATGATGATTCTCCACCTCCAAGATTTGGTGATTGCGTCCCCTAATCCCCAGTCGTACTTTAGAAGGGGGTGTATATAAGGTATTTCTCCTGCCTTCTTAGCATGCCTTCGTAGTGTAGAGGTCAGCGCGCTCGGTGCGTATTCGAGAGGTCTATGATTCGAGTCTCGACGAGGGCATTGCTCATTTTTCATTTTTCTTGCTTCCAAATAACCTAATGTCTCCACAACCTGATGTTATTTTCCTAATAAGGGAAACTTATTAGGTGATTGCTGAATAATGTCACAGTTGTAAAACAGTGCAATGGTTTTTAATTGCTATATAGCGAAATTTTCAAATTCAGGTATGCATTTTATGTCACTAAAAAGGACTCTACACAAAGTTATATACTACATTTTTTAATATAGCTCGCAGAAAATTTAGATAGATTACTTTAAATGTAAGCATATAAGGTATTTCTCCCGCCTTCTTAGCGATCCTTCGTGGTGTAGCGGTCTGCGAGCTCAGCGCGTAATTGAGAGGTCCGCGGTTCAATTCCCGGCGAAGGCGTTGCATATTTTTCGTCTTGCCTGCTTCCAAAATATCCCTAATGTCTTTACAAGCATGCAATGCAAGATATATTATTTAAACCGGAAAGGAAATCGAAAGTGTTTGCAAGCAAGTTAACTTCTTCAGATGCAGAAGATGAGCTATTGAACTCTCCTATGTTCAAAGTTTCAATCATATTATTCACGATTAAAAGTTAAAAAGAAAGTTTATAGCAGTGCATTAAAATGATGCCTGTAAATAATATATAAATAAAGTTCAGAAATATCTTATATTAGAAAAGACTAAAAAAAAGTATATTCAGAGGATACAGTCAACTGATCAATGTTCCTGTGTGCAGAATGCAAGTGTTTTCACACTTTTTTTATATTCTTTATAATATTTTAATTTAGGAAGTAAACTGCGGAAAGTATCCGAATGATGAAGATATCTTCACCTGTAAAAATTGTTGTGCTTGGAGTTGTATTGAAATTTGGCTACTTGGTTTGCTGTTTTGGCATATTTATTCACAAATATTACACAAATTCTTAAACGCATAAAAATACTAACTCGGTACATAAAAACATTGGATAAAATCAAAATGTTTGATTTTTCGTTGTTTTGAAGCTGCTGCTGGCTGGCAACGACTCGTAAAGCAATTTAAAACGGAATCTTCAGCTTTAAGACATTTTGTAAAACTGATACTTTTTTTACGTGTTTAAAATTGCTAATATTTTATTATTTGCATTCTGAAAAATTGTTTTGATGTTAGTTTTAAGATACTATTGAGCTCTAAGATATGATTTTAGTTATTATTTCCGGGTTAGCAGTGACTTCGGCATCTTGGTTGATATGATTGTGAAAGACAAAAAGAGAAAAAATGAAAAAAAAAAAAAAAGAGTGAAGTGAAAAAAAAAAATGTGTGTGGCTTTGACGTACAGCTGATTAATGTGTACGTTTAAAGTAAAGTTTTAGAAAATGAGAGCAATCAAAAATGTATTGATCATTGATTGGTCATCTGAAGTACGATAATTAAAGTTTTCAACGCCACACATGTACAGAGCAATAATTAATCTAATAAAATAAGGACATCTAAACAGAACCAAAGGAAACAAAACAATCCTAGTTATCTTTAGACGATTTTTGTGGCGATCTGACCGCGTTGTCATAAATTTATGATAATTATTATAAAGTACAATAACAATTCCAAATTTCCGAGTTACTAAATTCATAGGTACTCAATTAAGTTTTCCATTAAGTAAAAAGGAGTGGAAAACACTAAAATGAAACAGTGCAAGGAAAAATAATTAAATTACTCTTTTACTAAATTTCTCTTTGTTGTGCATTATAAAGACGTTATGCTTGAATTTAATAGCTATTTAGTCTAAGGTTGATAATTTATGCAGGTTACATCTAAAAAATAATAGCTTGTAGAGATTAAGATTAAAAAGAACATTTTGACGGTAATATCAGTTTAAAAAACTTATTATCAGAAATATCTGCGAGGTCGTTGAAGATATGTTTGTTAATATTAACGGAAAGATTGCAAAAGCTGATAGCTACTGAAGAAATGTGATAAAAACTTACAGATTTTCATACTAAATGTTCTCAACATGTATTACTGTATTTCCTCGTGTATTTTCCCTCCTCGCATATTCCCGCCCTAGCATTTTTGCGCGAGGTTCTGAAAATTTTTAAAATATTCGCCTAATTTTCCCTTCCTCAAGGCCTTTAAAGAATGGGAACTTAGCCTAATACAAGAAGCAACCTATTACATTGAAGTGATCTAGGAGTCAGTCTAGGATTTCTCTGAGTCAGCTGCACATTCAACTTCTACATTTCTTTACGAATGATGTGAGGCCTAAAGAGTAGCAGAGATAACAATAAAAAGGAGAGATCCAAGTTTTAGGGAAGTAAGAAATGAAGAGTTATTAGCTATTGTAATGTTAAAATTACTATATATTCTTATTGGAATGTAGGTTTTTTTTAAAAAAGAAATAGTACTGCAATAGTTACTTTTAGTTTATCCATGACTATTTTTCATTTATGTTCTTACTGTAACCGTTCTTCTCGGAAATTAAATTATTCACATAATTTTCCCCTTTCGGTTTTCAAATATTAAATTCAGTAAAAAAATTAGGGAAAATAACTTGACAATACAGTATGTATTTTAATAATATTAAAAAGTCTTTTTAAGTACAAATTTAGTCGTTGATGCTAATGGGGCATTAAAGACGAACGCCCTCTACTAATTATCACACTACTAATCTTTTAGAATTTTTAGGAGATTCTAAATACAGTATGAATAATCATCGTCAAGATATCTAATTTTTCTGATACTTTGCAGTGCTATCATTAATTGCCTTATCTGCATATTGTGTGTTTTGTATAGTACTGGTGTAATCAGACAGCTTTCCTTAGTTTCACTCCATCCACTTTTCTTATCGGATGGAGTAAAAACGCCGTACGTGAAAGAAAATGTGAGTCATAACAAAATATACTATATTATCCATCCATTCTTCACATCTAAACGCCTGTTTTAAAAACTTCAAAGTTCGAATAGTTAAAGATGATATATTTTTGTATCATTCATTCTGCAATATCACATAATGTATCATTCATGCTGAAAATATTTTTATAACTTATAAGGAATTTTGATCGCAGATAAAGAAAAAATTATTATTGACCTTCATTATGTACGAGCGTTGCAGTCAAAAGGATTTTCGATGATTATATCTGAGTTCTGTAAGACCAACTAAACGAACTGCAGATAATTGAGTTATTAGAACTGTGTGATTATATATATAGTAATAAAAATATCAGTTTTAAAGAACAGTCACCTCCAATTCTTATTTTTCCATCTCAGATGTCAATTCATCACATTTTATCGCCATATATATTTACTAGTTCTGCCCTTAAATAATCGTGTTACTAAGTGATTAGTTTAATATATTGTGGTAATTCGTTGATTTCTTATTAGCATTTCATAGAGTTTTATTATATTTTCAAAATGTTTTCTCTATCTTTATTTCATAAGTTTTATTTTTCTTTCCAGATGATTACAGATGATTATGAAAGTGCAACAGATGATGGAGACCCTCATTCTCCGACAGGAACATCACCTACGTGAGTAAATTATTTTAATTTTGAGAACTTCTTTTAATATACAGAGGAACTCGCCTTTTTAACTTTATTATTAAACATCACTTTCTTCGCATTTACCCATCATAAAATTCAATTGCAAAATCAGAAAAAATTTAAAAACAGCGTATCCTTAGAATTCCTGATAGAGTGTTGTGTTGCCATACATTTTTATCCTGAAAGAGCTGTTATTCTCGAAACTCACTTCAGCGTCGAATCATTTTTGTTATGAGTTTCACTTTTCATATAAATAGCTGCTGCTAGTCGCCTAAAATAGTTACTATAAAAAAGAGAAAAATATATAATGCTTTGAAAAAAAGCCATCTAGTATCATTTTATGTCATCTCGCAATTAATAAAAGAAATAAAGAATTGCGTTTATTGCTTTTAAATCGCTTAGCTTATTTGTTAATCATTAACAATCAGATTAAATTTAAAATTACAATTAAATAAATAATAACTTACGCTTCGCCAAATGGCAACAAACTGGTGTGTGGAAGTTAAAAATAGCTAGTATTTTATATCGGATACTTTTGAATTTCCGATAAAGTGCTAAATGTTCCCATACAATTTTTATATGCCTATTCGCTATATTATGCCTTTAAAAATGTTGCATGGCGATAGCATTAGTAACATTCTTTTATTTGTGTTGCCATGTAATTTTTTTTATATTCGCTATTTTATTTCTTTTAAAATAATACGGTGTAGGTGACATTTAGTCGCAACATTTGGAAAGGGGTATAGACACGAAAGTGATACTGACAGAAAAGTGGTATTTGAGAGTAATAACACCTTTGATGCTAATAAATACTGTCTGAAGTGCTCAATATTTGGCAGTCTTTTTTTCCTTCTCGCCAATATGCACCTTATTTTTAATGGCAAAAGGAATTTCTTTAACCTACTAAGGGGATTATTTTCTACTTTTCTTTTCGTTTTCTCCACAGTCAATCAGTTGTTTAGTTAGCGTGTAAAGAGCATCGTTTTTAGTAGTTCGAAATCTCAAATCCTTCAATACCTCATCATGAAATTTTGGTGGAATATATGAAAAAGGTGTAGCACGGCATAACCTACATCTTTTTCTTTTCCTTCTTTTTTAAGTATAGTGCTGTATGTATACATACGGTTCGTGCCTCTTTGTCCTTCCTGTATTTTCAAATTATTTTACATTGGATGGATAAAGAAGGATGGATTTTTTGAGATTATTAATTTTTGGGTTTTAGTTTACATTGGGTGGATTTCTTTCTAAAATATGGACGTCAAAATATTACTTTGATAACATACAGAAGTAAATCTTACATTTCTTTCGGCTCTTCTTAATTTTAGTTTTAAGTTTTATGAAAAATAAGCTATGATCTTAATTTTAGATTTTGAAACCATGTAGTCCCTACTTTATGATAGTAATTGGACTGCTTTCTGTGACAGTCAATAAAATAATGTCATTCTACATATGGTCTTACACTCCGACATGTCTAGAAAGAAAACTATGAACTTTGTACTTGACGGATTTGTACTAATAAAAAAAGATTTAAATTGAAATCAATTTAAATGTAAATCTTTTTTATTGTTATTTATTCACTGCAGAAAAAGGCACTTTAGTAGATGCTTAATAGATGGGTCCTCTTTTAGAACTATATATATGATTTTTTAAAGAGATTTTGAAGCAAGAATTTAAAAAAAAAGATAAGCATTAAACATTTCGCATTCCCGTAGAGAACAGCGAATTTAGAATATTTTCATTTATTGCGAATAATACTCTGTATTGTGTCCTAACGTATCTTAGTTCCAAGTTTCCTAATCCGCTTTTGTTCTGAACAATCAGAATATATTTCTTCAGAAAAAATACAAAATGTAATCTTCTATCAAAATTAAATTTATATGAGCTGTTTTGTGCTAATAAAAATTTGGACTGTTTGAGACTATAATAGTATATCTATCGGTGTAAAAGTCGTCGCCAGCTTTTCTTGAGTCATTAATTTCCGTTTTTTGATTAATCAAAATATTTTTTAAATGTGTGTGAACAGTTTTTGTACAAAATTAGAGTTTTCCTGAGATTTATTTGTGCGATTGATACATAGCCTTTCTGTTACAGTGTGAAGTTATTAAGCCTTTTTTTTTCCTTGAAGCAGGTGGCATCAAAAATGTGCCATGCCCTCGCCGAAAATGGAACCTAGACCTCTTGAATACGCGACGAGTGTACTACCGTAACACCAACAAGGCATGCTGGAAGAAGGGAGTAAAATACCCTATACAAAAACAAACCTCCTTTTAAAGAGCGACTAGGAATTAGGGGACCCAATCGCCAAATCCTGGTGGTGATGAATTAGCATCCACCACCCTTTTAGTTTGGGCGCCACTGTAGAGTCATTAAATTATTTTTATGGTGAAGACATGAAAAATGTGTAATGCCCTCATCGGGGCCCGAACCTAGACCTCTCGCATACTCGCCGAGTGTGCTACCGTTACACCACGAAAGCATGCTTGAAAGAGGGAGAAAATATACCACTATGGAATAATTTATACTTAAGGATGAGACTCCAAAGATTCGATCTTCATGACATAACGTAAGTGAAGTTAGTCCTCTAGCTACTTAGCTCAGGTAGGAAAGAGAACAGGGAGCGACATATCCCTTTTCCTCCTTTTTACTTCAAATATATTATAAAACAGTGCAAAGACAATTACTGAAGATCGGGCGCATGTTTTGCGCCGTTTTTAGCAGTGGGCGCATGTTTCAAAACTGTTTTGTCAAGAATGTTTTAAATCGATTGCAGGTTTGTATTTATGGACCAGCTAACATCACGTTCTGTATCATTCATATGAAGATTTTTATCATACAAATATAACTTAAAATTCAAATTTTAATTAAAACCAAATTCGAAAATCATATCCAGATATAGCAAAGTAAAAAAGTAGAACTTTGCTATATCTGGACTTTTACTCCTCCAACAATGGTGTCTTCTTCAGAGCATTTATATTTCTAGAAAGGGGATATCTCCGTGCATGTGCTTTTCCAAAATAGCCCCATAAGTTTTGTATTGGGTTAAGAACAGGAAATTTTGTTTCCCACATTATTCGCTCAATATCTTTACCGTCAAGGATTTCGTCAACGAGATTTGCTCGAAATGGTCGAGCATACTGACCATAAATAAAAACGTCAGATCCATATGCAGCTCTGAAAAGTCTTACATGAAGTTCTTAAACCTCATCTCGATACCTGGCTGTTCAACAGATCCGTTGTTGAAAATGTGTAGGGGCGTACGTCCAGTCGATCATTATTTCCCCCCATACCCTCACACTTGTATAGTCAAACTAGTCACTTTCCATAATGTTCAAAAGAAGTTCTTGCGTTCCTGACTACCTCTAGATGTAAACACGTTTAGAATCAGATGTAAGCGAAACCTACTTGCTTTCATAATTGTATGCCCTGCTTCTAAACGGCAGACGATTTGCGACTTCCCTGATACTTCCAAATGATACTCTGGAGCCTTAAAAGAGGGTTTTGAAACTTCATACACTGAAATGCTTGCAGAAATTCGCTCTGGTATTCACTTTGCGCAAAGCCCTTGATACACCATCAGATGATGCATCGTCTTTATTTGCATATCAGAAACCATTTGATGATGTTAGATTGATAGATTGATATTAGGTTTGTCTTTCACACTTTGTCTGCAAAAACAGATTACATCAATTAGATATTTTATGGAACATCATTATTTTTGTGTACGTAAAATTAAATTTGGCCACTCTGTATATTTAAGTTACAAATTAAATGTAATCCGTTCCTTCAGTAAATGAAATAATCAGTTGTTTATTCAACTAAATTAGAAAAGATTTTGAATATTTTCGTCCACCATTTCTCACTGGACGAAATTGAACTAACAGTTGTTAACAAGTTTAAATGTCTTTAATTACAAAGAACTCTATGTGATCTGAAACTTCAAGAAACTCGTGAATTTATTAGACGTTCTAAAGTACAGTTCAATCAAAATGTTGAAAGAAATAGTTTTCCCCCTTACCTTCTGCTTTCATGCTTTCAGTCGGTTCTCGAGTACCATCCCAAAGTCTCTAACTCATATCTGATATTACTCCCTAAAGAATTGTGAGGCGCCGCCAGGGGTGGGAAAAACTCTTCCACATTGTGAAATATTTTCGGCGTCTTTTGAAAGAATGTATAAATATAGTTTTGCAGTCAAAAGTTCAGTATTTCTCGTTTGTATATCTGGACATGTTTTAAACCTTTTTCCGAGCTGTTTTAAGGATTACCATGTCAAAAATGTCTATTTGAAGTTTATGCAAATAATGAATTTCACAGATGTCATTATAAAAATATTTTCCTTAATACCTTGAAAATTTTTCATTCTCTGCGACGTTCAGGCAATATCTGTACGTATGAGAAGCATCACCCCAACGAATATAACTAAAAGAAATATGCAGAAATCGTTTTACTTTCATATACAAAATTTTCTTGGTTTTGATCAAGATATATTTCCTATTTTTTATAAGAAAATATTGATTATTACTGTTTCATTTGTTTTCCTGTGTGATTGTCCGTGTAGTACTTTAAATTAGTTTTTGAGTCTAAAATGATTCCGAACGGCTTGGCTGAGTTTGTACATAGAATTTCTTCTGTCTCTTAAGAGTCAACAGCGAATTTAGAATATTTTCATTTATTGCGAATAATATTCTGTATTGTGCTCTAACGTATCTTAGTCCCAAGTTTCCTAATCCGCTTTTGTTCTGAAAAATCAGAATATGTTTCTTCAGAAAAAATAAAAAATGTTATATAAATGTAAAAAATGTAATAAAAAATGTATTCCAAATACATTCCAAATAGTCAAGTTTATTCTTTTAAAACAGAACAGATGTGCATTTTCTTATATTTAATTCATTCTGTAGTAATTACACTGCTGGAAATCTTCTCAGAGAAGAGAAGATTGAAATGATTAAGAAGGTTCCTTTAAATCCTTAGATTAAATCTAAATATCTGTG